GAAGAAGAAGAAGAAGAAGAAGAAGAAGAAGAAGAAGAAGAAGAAGATACTTGGTTGATATCTAGGATGCTGGCAGTAACCTGTATCAAGCATCAGCACCAGTCAATAATATTTGTGATGCATTTTTAAATGTTCAGTTGACTGAGTTTCATGTTTAATGAATAAGAAATAATAATAAATAAAGCAGTTCAGATACCAATTTTAAATAGAGTTTAAGTTGATTTTTTCCAACCACCCTTTTTAAAAAACAAAACCCTCCTTGTTTTTATTTTCATTCTTTTCCCTTCTTTTCTAGTGGTCGCTGATGTCCTTTCTGAATTTTTAGAAGTAGCTATTCACCTTATCCTTTATGTCCGAGAGGTTTACCCCACTGGGATTTTTCAGAAGAGGAAAAAATATAATGTACCTGTTCAGGTAAGAGACACACAAGTACATTTTGGATATATATATAAAATAATTGAGGGGTCTGTTCCACTTTTGATCTGGTCTTTAGAAAATTGTTCTTAAAATTGCTCTTGTGTGCAAAACGTAGAATATTTGCAAATCAAAGTCTATTAGAGGTGGTTAAACTCCTACTTCTCCTTTCCACACCAGATGTATTTGTCAACTTATATGCCTCTTTACAAAATTTTTCAACTTGAGCATTGCTAATCAACTCTACAAACCTTCAGAGAAGCTGCAGTTATCTTTCATTAAAGTTTGCAGTTTCACTCAGTTAAAAGATCAGTCCAGGGACTTATTTAATAACGAAATACTCCAAATATACCTTCTTAAATAGGAATCAAAGCAAGTTGGTTGGGATAAAATAAATGGCTCATATTATGTGAAAATAAATAGAGTATAGTAGATATTAAAAGAAGACAGTAAAAACTTTAAAAACCCACTCCTGATCAAAATTACTTAGCCTCATCATGCATATCTAAAAGAAAAGATATAAAAAAAGGAAGTGAAAATAAAAAGCATAGGGCCCAATATATTTTTTTAGACTTTTATATTTTACTACTTCGATACCCGTGCTTGAAACTATGTGGTCGCGCTTAGTTTTTGGGGAGGAAAATAAGCGGAAAAAAATCGGCCTCTGCCTACCAGCATCTAACGGTATTCACCTGGCTAACATCCTATCAGTGTGCGAGAGAGTTGAGGGCTTTTTTGGAAACTGAAACAGTATTTGCTGTGTGAGCAAGAATGAGACAGCAAGGAGCCTTGGCATGGCTTAGCTCAACTGTTCTGTACTAAAGCTGCTTGCTGCTGTAAAACGGAAACGGAAACTCCTCTCTGCTTGTGTTTTGCATTTGGAACAGATTTCTTTTCAGGTGGGGAGGGGGAGTAGAACTCCTTAGCATCAGAGAGTGTTAATAATAATAATATAGGAAATACTAAAGCTCTGATGGTCACTTCGAAAAATCCTTTCTTAGTGAGTACCTAGAAGCCAAGAGGAACACATATGCCAAATTTCAAGTTTGTAGGCTTTACGGTTCTGGAGATTTTGTGATGATTCGCTTTTATAGAGAGAGATTAAATCTCACCGTTGAGTGTTGAAATGTGCAACAAATTGCGTGTGTTACTATTTAGGACTGTGGTCTAGTAGAAGTGGAAAATAATTGATCTCAAAATGAAAAATCATAGCTTAACTTTCCAGTGAACCTTTTCAAGAACTTTTAAGTGTCTGCTTGGGCTAAAATCAAGATAAATTATAGGATAAACTAAAACCAAAATTGTTTTAAGGAGAGAAAACACAGAGGGTTAATTCAAACGAACTTCTATCAATACCTGAACCAAATTCCTTGTGTCCACAGATGTCCTGCCATCCTGAACTCAACCGATATATTCAGGATACTCTCCACTGCGTCAAACCTCTGCTAGAGAAGGTGAGTCTTAAAACTGTAGGGCTGTGTTAGGGAACCGCAGAACCATTTCCTGGTGCAGAATCCAATCTGGGACCAGAACTTTAGTCTTCTGAGCTTTTGGACATGTGCAGGAGCCCATCCTCGGGGAATTTCTCAGTGCGCTTTGGGCTGCTCTGTGTGTGGTTGTCAGGCTCCTGTCAGAGTCTAAATCTGAGGAGGAAGACAAACAGCTGACAGGGTGGAAGTGTGGCTCCGTTGGCTGTGGAGGAGGCTGGGGAAGGGTAAAGTCCGGATGGGCAGAGCAGAGGAGAGGTAGAACAAGGGAGAGGGAGTTCAGAGGAAGACCCAGGCCCTAAGGCATCCTAAGGCATCCTAAGGCACACAGGGAGGAACGGAGGAGGGAGCAACATGGGTTGCATGGCTTACGGGGGAGGAAAGGGCCCTGACTCCCTTCATTAGACACACCTGGGAATGAGAGTTTAAAAGAGATGCATGCTGAGTGTGGCATTTGCTGGGAACAAACGTGAGTTTATCTTGTGTTGACTTTGCTTACCTGCGTTCCTGGCGTCTTCCCAACCGTGTTGAGTTACTGCCATTCCTTCACGTCTGGAATTCCTTCTCCTGCCCTGATGGACGCATTACCTCATTTTGGCTTGATTGGACTTAAAGTTACAGTTTTTGTTGACCACGTTTTGGACTTGATTCTCTGCAGCCAAAGGCTGTTCCTGATAGAGTTTTTCTCCAGCCAAAAGGTACCCTTGACATTGGGGGCAAAGTTGGAGCTATTAAAGGGACTCTTACTGATTATATGACTGTGTTGCCTTTGTGCCACACCCTTTTGAGTCATCACAGTGGTATTTATATGGTGCCGGTTGTGTGTGGCTTTCTAGATGTTGATTGGGGTGTTAATGGCTGGCTATAACATATTTTTTGGAGTATAAGACGCACTGGACCATAAGACACATCTAGATTTAGAGGAGGAAAACAAGAAAAAAAAATAGGTTTTTTGTCTCTGTGCGTCCCGTTTTTGCCCTCCCAGCATCCAGAAGCACTCTGCAGGCCAAAAATGGGCCTGTTTTTGGCCTCCTGAACCCTCTGCGCATACCGTTTCTGCCACCCCCCAATGCCAGGAAGGGCAAAAATGGGACGTGTGAGGCCTCCAGTGGCCAAAACCAGGCCCGTATTCACTCTATAAGACGCACGGACATTTGCACCCACTTTTTTTGGTGGGGGGGGCAGTGTGACTTATAGTCAGAAAAAATATGGTAAGTTGTTTCCTTGTGCTGCCTAGCCCTTGTCTCCTAAGTACTTTGATAAGATGCTGGTAAATTAGCACTCCCATTGACTGACTGACAAGGGCTTTAGTTGCTTCCCCGGCTGTTTTTGTGGCTGCTTGTCCAACAATCTTAGTAGCTGCGAAATTGAATGCATGCCCTTGTTTACTGCAATGCGAAGCTACCAATGAGTTTGGGTCTTCCCATCTTGACTGCTCGCTTGTATTCTTGCCATCTTCGCTTCATTCCTGTCCTACCTAGTCACAGGGAATCCAGTAGATTATTTATTGACCGAGGTGTTGATGGCCAACTATTAAGTCGTTGGCTGTTGGTTCCTCTCAGCTCCTAAGTACCTGATAAACTGGGGGTAAATCAGCGCTCCTGTTGACTGACAAGAGGCCTGTTTCCAAGACTTCCAAGTATTTCCCTGGCTATTTTTGTACCTACTCCACCAACAATCTTAGTAGCTGCAAAATTGAATATATTTCCTTGTTCATTGCAATGTGAGGCTACCAGTGAGTTCAGGTCTCCTTGTCTGACTGCTTGTCTTGTTGCAATCTCGTGGTTAGCTTCCTCCTCGTCTGTCCTACATGATCACAGGGGCAATCCATGAAAGGGATCCAGTAGATTACATTAGAACAAGGGTCTTCAAACTTGGCAAGTTTTAAGACTTGTGGACTTCAACTCCCAGAATTCCTGAGCTAACATGATTGGAGGAGGAATTCTGGGAGTTGAAGTCCACAAGTCTTAAAGTTGTCAAGTTTGGAGACCCCTGCATTAGAAGTATCTCCCACCTCCAAGTGAGCTTTTTAATTTGTCCTTGTATGGTAGCCTCTGGGCGGTGTGCGATGCCCATTTGCAGATCTTGGAAGCTGCGTCCTACAGCTTCCGAATTTTGCTGTTGTTGTACCAGATTCCTGGTATTTCATAGCCAACCTGGTTATGTGAAAGCTCCAGCCAAGGGAACCACCTCAATGCGGCTTACTTGCGCACAGGCGCCTGGAATTCACAGAGGAGTTCTTCAGAGAGATAATATTTCTGTCACCCTGCTTGTTTTTGCAACCTTTTTTCAGAATGACGTGGAAAAAGTGGTAGTGGTCATCCTTGATAAGGAGCATCATCCAGTAGAAAGATTCGTCTTTGAGATCATGCAGCCGCCACTGCTGGCCATCAGGTGAGACTCCTTGTTTCTAAACCCCAAATACTGGTCTGCTGGTCACACCCACCAAATTTTGGAAGGCTGGAGAGTTTGATCCATCCGTCTTTCCGTTGCAAAAACTCAGCTGCCATAAACTCTGGTTTATTCTGCAGAACCCAAGGCAAGCAAAGATTTAATTTAAGAATATATTGATTTAAGAACATATTAAGAAATATTGAATTTAAGAACAAAATAAAAGTGTTGATTTGCAAATAAAATGGAAGAAACACCCCCTTAAGGGGCTGTTTTGGGATCCAACTGACCAGGCTGATTCTGCATCCGTCTAGCTCAGAGTTTCTCAATATGGCAGCTTGAAGATGTATGGACTTCAACTCCTAGAATTCCCCAGCCAGTGGAGGAATTCTGGGAGTTGAAGTCCACATATCTTCAAGGTTGAGAAACATTGGTTTAATCACTCCATGGTCCCCCATTATTACTATTAGTAGTATTAAAACTTAGAAATATGGAGCATAATAAAGGGGATCATATAATTATAAAACTACATTTAACCCAAGTTTAGCCCTCAGGAAGGCAGTAAACCAGTATCTCAAGTGGATTTTCAAAGTCAGTTTGGGACCTAGTCTTAAATCATGAAAGTAAATTATAACAGACCACTGAGAAGTCTGTAAATATATGGCTATAAATAAATATACATTTATATATTATATTTGTATTTATTTTATAAATATCTTTTTTTATATTATATTGATATTATTTTACATTTATATTTTATATTATATTATTAATATTAATATAATAATATGTATTTATTATGTTTGTTATTTTATTATGGCTAAAAATCCAGTGAGATAGATAGAAATAGATAGATAGGATAGAGAAATAAAGAATAGATATAGATAGATAGATAAATATTTGTTTTTGTAGATTTTCACGGGAGGCAGATAGACACACAGCCAGCCAATACCTCAGCCACACATGTTCTTACGAAAAAGCCAGCCAATCTGCAAATATCAACTCCATCAACCATGACAACACAACCAACCTCCCCACCAGTATATATAGGGAGACGGAAGCTCCGATCGCTCTTTGCTCGCACAAGCACGAAGCCGAAAGCACCAGTCTGAAGATGGCAAGTGGGACCTCGTCGAAACGTTGCCAAGATACTCTCAATCTTACACGGGAAAAGACCTGAACACGCCAAGACCTGCATAGATAAATATAGATATAAATTATTATTATCTTTATTGTCAGAGTATAACATGTGTACAATGAGATTGGTGACATAGACAGATACAGATAGATCTATATATATATAGATATAGATTAGATAGATAGATAGTGGGTAGATAGATAGGTAGATATAGATTAGGTACATTTTTATGATTTTTACTGTTTCCTAGTATGATTTGATTGCGTATTTGTACCCTATGACTATATTCTATTTACTATATACCCTATGACTATATAACACTATGACTATCATTAAATGTTGTACCTTATGACTCTTGATGAATGTATCTTTTCTTTTATGTACACTGAGAGCATTTGCACCAAGACAAATTCCTTGTGTGTCTAATCACACTTGCCAATAAAGAATTCTATTTTACTGTATATATTAGATAAATAGACATAGATTAGATAGATAGATATAGATATACATGATATAGATTAGATAGGTAGATAGGTAGATATAGGTTAGGTAGATTTTTACAATTTTTACTGTTTCCTAGTATGATTTGCCTCTTTTACCTTATGACTCTATTCTATTTACTATATACCCTGTGACTATTGTTAACTGTTGTACCTTATGATTCTTGACTCTTGACGAATGTATCTTTTCTTTTAGGTACACTGAGAGTATTTGTACCAAGACAAATTCTTTGTGTGTTTAATCACACTTGGCCAATAAAGAATTCTATTCTATATAGTAGATAGATAGATAGATAGATAGATAGATAGATAGATAGATAGATAGATATAGGTATATAAATATAGATGTATATACATATGTATATATTTATATCCTTTCATCTACTTTTTCCTTCTCCAGCTCCGATTCCCTCCTCAACCATGTGGAGCAACTTCTGCGGGCTTTTATCCTGAAGATCAGTGTCTGTGATGCTGTTTTGGAGAATAACCCTCCAGGTAGGAGAGTCAACAGAGGCGGTAATCTTGCTGGCAGCAGGCAGTGGGGTGGGTTCCAGGCTGATATTTCAAGTTCATTTTTCCTTCGCCCTGAGCTGAAGAAAACAACTGAATGAGCGGCTTCGGTGGTTTCAAACAGTGGGTCTGCCATACGGATTTTTTCTTCCAGCAATTCGGGGAAAATGGTATTTTTTAAAGAAATATTTATAACCACAGTATGTAAAATAGTGCAGGAATTCTCTTTATGCACCTCTCTGCTTTGCAGGGACCAAAATATATAGGCTGTCCTCAAAGTACGACCACAATGGAGCCCCAAATTTCAGTTGTTTACGTGAGGCATTTGTTAAGTGAGTTTTGCCCCATTTTGCAACCTTTCCAGTGGTGCTATTCTACCAGTTCGGCCCGGTTCACACGAACCGGCAATAAAAAATGTTACTGTCTGGCCGAACAAAAAACAGCTATCGGTTTGGCCAAACCGATATTTCTTTCTTTTTTTCCCCCTCCCGACGATCAGCTGTTCCGACGATCAGTTGTGCTGGGATCCCCCTCGCTGACTTACTGCTTCGCCCAGGACGATTCCCTAAGGCCCAGGAAGCAAAAAAACAGAGCACGGTGTGTGTGTGTGTGTGTGTCAAGCCCGAAGTTGCCATATGTGTAGCCATTTTAGTTAGGCTTAGTATATATTCTTTTTCTTATTTCCACTTTGGTGGTCATGAGGGAAGTATTTCGGGCTTGCCACATTCCTAAGCGGGGAGGAGTGGAGATGAGAGAGTTGTTTAGACTAGGTGGTTCTCCTTCCCGTGGGAACAAAAGCTGACCCTGCTGAGACCTGGAGGTGGAGATTGATGACACCAGGCAACATTGATTTATTTCTATTAGGGAATGTGACTTTTGGGGGCTGTTTCTAACTTCCAATATTATGTGGTGTAATTCCGGGTTGTGTCAGATCTGGAATTACCACGGACTTTGCCAATTTGATGTTTTCCTAAGTAAAAGAAATTGTCTTGGAAGATGGACTTTGCTCTTTTTTCTTTTTAAATGGATTTCATCACTTGGAAACCTGACAGGGGACTGTGTGTTGCCCCCCCCCCCCCCGGGGCCCCAATTTTTGCCTTCCTGGGCCTCCGGGAAGAGGCCCAGGAGGCAAAAAAGTGTGTGGGGGGTAAAAAAAGAAAGAAGTCATGCCCCCCCCATCACATGGCCACACCCACCTAATTATGCCTACTGAGCCACGCCCACCTAGCCACGCCCACAGAACCTGTAGTAAAAATACTGGCATCCCACCCCGGGACCCTTCATGCCACAATTGTTAAATCGAATCCCTGCAGTTGTTCAGTTAGTCACCCGGTTGTTAAGTGAATCTGGCTTCCGCGTTGACTTTGCTTGTCCAAAGGTCGCCAAAGGGGATCACGTGACCCCGGGACGCTGCAGCCATCATAAGTGTGAATCAGTTGTCGAACCTGTGAATTTAGATCACGTGACCCATGGGGGATGCTACAAAGGTTGTAAGTGTGAAAGCCAGTCGTAAGTCACATGTTTCAGTGCTGTTGTGTCATGCCCTTGTTGGAGTCTGATTCTGAGGGGGAGGTCGAGTAGCTGAGAGGGAGTGGGAGTGTGGCTCTGGTGGCTTGTGGAAGAAACGGGGGAAGGGCACAGTCCAGCTGGGCATTCAGAGGAAGACCCAGGACCCCCCCCCCTCCTACATCCTAGGGCACTCAGGGAGAAATGGAGAAGGGAGCAACGTGGCTTACGGGAGAGAAAAGGGCTCTGATCCCTTTCATTTGTTACAGCTGGGAGAACATGATATAAGAAGGGTGTTTGAACACAGCACCTTGCTGGAAGCAAAGCCTGCATCATCTTTGTCGAGGCTTATCTGGGTTTTGGCGTCCTCCCAACTGTGTGTGCCTTGTTATCTTTTGGAAGTCTGCAAGTTATTATCCTGGTCTGTCATGTTAATTAGTTCAGCGTGGTTTGTGTTGGTTTTTTTAATTTTTAATTCATCTCTACTTTGGGTTTGGACTGTATTTCTTCCATTTCTAGACTCTTTTGGGAACAGTTTGGTTTCCAGCTGAGGATAACTGGACATTGGGGGCCAAGTTGGAGGTATTAAAGGGAAATTATCTACTTTTGTGACTCTGTTATCTTTGTGCCATGCCCCGGGTCATTACATGAACTGCAACTTTGAACGATCACTAAACGAACTGTTGTAAGCTGAGGACTACTGTATTTGATCACAGGTGGTAACTCTGAATCGTGCCTCTTTTATTTAAAATCTCTCTCTCTGTTTCTACCTCGTTTGTTGCAGGCTGCACTTTCACCATCCTGGTGCACACCCGTGAAGCTGCCATGCGCAACATGGAGAAAATTCAAGTGATCAAGGTAAGGAATCGCACAAGACCCACAGTAAGCCGTTGTGTTTCACTCTCTCTGCGTCAGATACTGTCATGCCCCTGTTGGAATCTCATTCTGAGGGGGAGGTTGAGCAGCTGAGAGGGAGTGGGAGTGTGGCTCTGGTGGCTGTGGAGGAAACTGGGGAAGGGCACAGTCCAGGTGGGCATTCAGAGGAAGACCCAGGCCCACCCCCTCTTCATCCTAGGGCACGCAGGGAGGAACAGATAAGGGAGCAACGTGGGTTACAGGGGAGAAAAGGGCCCTGATTCCCTTCGTTAGCTGCAGCTGGGGAAACAGAATAAAGAGGATGTCTGCGCACAGCAACTTGCTGGAAGCAAAGCATGCATTATCTTTGTCGAGTCTTATCTGGGTTCTGGCGTCCTCCCAACTGTGTGTGTCTTGTTATCTTTTGGAAGTCTGCAATTCCTTATCCTGCCCTGTCTTTTTAATTGCTGCAGGGTGGTTTGTGTTGGTTTTTATTTATAATCTATATGTACTTTGGGTTCGGACTGAATTTCTTCCCTTTAAACAACTGTTCTTGGGAGTTTTTTTCCAGCCGATGATAACTGGACATTGAGGGTCAAGTTGGAGGCATTAAAGGGACTTTACCTACTTTTGTGACTTTGTTGCTTTTGTGCCACGCCACTTTGGGTCATCACATATACGGTCGATTTTTTAAAAGCAACAACCAACATCATTTTTAAGCATGAAAGGCCGCCTCCAATCTCATCCCGGCTTCTGTTGTTTGTATTCGGGTTCAGTAAAAAATTTGGCCTCCCGGCCACCCATGTCCCTGACCCCAGCATCAGTGTGATGACCTGGGGCACAGCGCAGAGGCCACCACATGGGAAGCTGGCAGTTCAAACTGCCCAGGGGTGGGTGCTGCTGGGGGTACGCAGGGGTTCGGGAAAGCGCCTAGCTAAGATTCTGTGCACTTCGGAGAACACCCCAAATCCCACTCCTGGCTGGTCCCGCCCACCCTACCCCATCACCCCCAGGAGTCCCCACGTGGCCCATTTTGGATGCAGGTTATGCAGGGCGCACACGGAGGCTCACAGGGAGGGCGAAAAACGGGCCTCCCGGAAGTTTGGGAAGGCCGGAAATGGGCCCATTTCCAGCTTCCATAGAGCCTCCAGAATCCCGGGAGGCCATTTTCGCCCTCCCGGAGGCTCGAGAAAGCCTCTGGAGCCTGAGTAGGGCAAAAAGGCCCTCCCACCGTGGGGCAGGAGGCCAACTAGGCCACACCCACCCAACAACCAGGCAGAGAACCCTTTCCTAATTTTTTTGAAGTCCACCCCTGAGGCTGCCCCCTTATTGCTCCAAATTCCCCCCAAATACTCCCTGTTTCTGGCAAGTCCCAGAGCCAAGGGATAATGCACGTGCCCGTGCGTGCGCACACACACACACACACCAGTCCAATACTGTGAGCAAGCCAGAAAATCCAGCAGGCAAGTCGAAGAGTCCCGAAAGCCACGAAGCAAGGCAAGAATCCAAAAATCAAGAAGGAACCCAGGAAAGTTCAAATGTCGGCACTCAACACTCCGGGAATTCACCATTTGTTCCCCACAGTGTCTCCTTAAGTCTCAGTCCCCAAGTGTGCCTTGTGGAGAGGAGTGGGGCGCTCTCTTCCCGAGTAGCCTGCTCACTCTGTGCTGTTCTCGCCTTCTCTCCACTCTCCGTGCTCTCGGATCAGGAGGGGGTGGTCTTTGCTCATCGCCTGAGCTCTGGCTCTCAGGGTCCCTGCTTAGCCTCTCTTCGTCATCCTGGCCCGTCTCTGCCTACAAGCCATCTTAATCTTGAAAGGCCCTGGTTTGACTGGGCCTGCTCTTCCCTATTTTCCTCCGAAGGCAACGAAGCCACCCCCTCAATCTCTCAAATGAGCCGAAAATCAGCTGGGAGGCACGCGCATGCGCAGTGAGGATAAGTTTGGCTGGGGGTCACGTGCCCGCACAAATGGCTCTGCGTCCTACCTGTGGTACGTGTGCCGTAGGTTCACCATCACAGCTATATTCTGTTCTGTTCTGTTCTATTCTATTCTATTCTGCATTCTAATTCTAATTCTATTCTGCATTCTAATTCTAATTCTATTCTATTCTCTATTCTATTCTATTCTATTCTCTCTTCTATTCTGCATTCTAATTCTAATTCTATTCTATTCTCTATTCTATTCTGTTCTATTCTATTCTATTCTATTCTCTGTTCTATTCTGCATTCTAATTCTAATTCTATTCTCTATTCTAGTCTGCATTCTAATTCTTATTCTATTCTATTCTCTATTCTATTCTGCATTCTAATTCTAATTTATTCTCTATTCTATTCTGCATTCTAATTCTTATTCTATTCTATTCTCTATTCTATTCTGCATTCTAATTCTAATTCTATTCTGTTCTATTCTATTGTAATTCTAATTCTAATTCTTATTCTATTCTATTCTATTCTATTCTGCATTCTTATTCAATTCAATTCAATTCAATTCTATTCTATTCTATTCTATTCTAATCCCCATTCCTATCTATTATATTCTATTTCTATTCTAGTCTCTTTTCTTTTCTTCTGTTCTGTTCTGTTGTTCTTCTCTTCCCTTCTATTTTCTATTCTATTCTGTTCTATTCATCATCATTTCTATTCTGCAGCTGAGCTGGGAGTCCTGAGAACAGGGGGTCCTGGACCTGTGCGTGCAAACAACTGCTAAATTCAAATTTATTTATTTTATTTTATTTTATTTGGTTTGAGCATAAGGGGCAATAGTTTGCATGAAGAGGCTGTTATGTTTCCCATCCCGTAGGACTTCCCCTGGATTCTAGCCGACGAGCAGGACGTCCACATGCATGACCCCCGGCTGATCCCCCTGAAGACCATGACCTCAGACCTCTTGAAGGTGAGCAGACCCACCTTCTGCGCCCGGCCGGCTTGGAGAAGGGCAAGCTGAAGATTCGATCCAATCAAGAAAATTGGTTGGAATTCCCGCCTTTTTAATACGCCGGGGGGCTTCCCGATTGGCTCTCTGAGGTCACGTGACCCCAATCCTAGGGAGAGCCGAGACCCATGGGCCCACAGTTCTTCCTTTGGCCACCAGAGGGTGCTTTGATTTTTACAGCATTTATTTATTTAATTTATATTCTTCCCATTTTGGAATTTATGGGCCCTCAGCTCTGTTGCTGTTTGAAAGGTGGGGCGATTTGACAGTGTGGCCAGCCTCTTCTTGCAGAACCTCCACCTCCAACTGTTCCTTTGTCGCATTTGCACAAGGGTCTTTAATAACTCGGTTTGCCGATTCCTCCCATTCAATCCCAAAGCCCAGACCAGGAACGGGCAGCTCCTTTTTGCACTGACCCGTCAATCTTCCTCAGCGGTTGGTGTGTTTTGTGTGGCCGCCAAGAAAGAGCGCCATTCAGTGTGACCTTGGTGTGCAGAAGAGTAAAGTCCTACACTTAGGCAAGAAAAACCCAAAGGACACCTACAGACTGGGTAAAAAAAACAACAGGGTTTGTGAGAGGGAACTTGGAGTCTTAGTCGACAACCAGTTAAATATGAGGCAACAGAGCGCAGCGGAAGCCAAAAAAGCTAAGTTGCATTAACAGAGGGATACAATCAAGATCAAGGGAGGTACTAATACCACTCTATAAAGCCTTAGTAAGGCCACACCTGGAATTCTGCATCCAGTTTTGGTCACCGTACTATTAAAAAGATGTTGGGACTCTAGAAAGCGTGCAGAGAAGAGCAACCGGGATGATGAGGGGACTGGAGGCTAAAACACACGACGAACAGTTGCAGGAACTGGGCTTGGCTAGTCCAGGGAAGAGAAGGACCAGGGGAGACAGGATAGCAAGTTTTCCAATATTTGAAGGGAGATGGAGAGAAAGAAAAGGAAAGAGAAAGGAAGGAAGGAGAGAAAGAAAAAAGAGTGAGAGAAAGAGAAAAAGAAAGAGAACAAAAAGGGAGAGAAAGAAAAAGGAAGGAAGAAAAGAGAGAAAGAAAGAGGGAGAGAAAGAGAGGAAGTGATTGGAGGCTAAAACATACAATGAACGGTTGCAGGAACTGGGCCTGGCTAGTCCAGGGAAGAGAAGGACCAGGGGAGACAGGAGAGCAGCCTTCCAATATTTGAGGGGCTGCCCCAGAGAGGAGGAAGGGGGTCAAGCTATTTTCCAAGGCACCCGAAGACCAGACAAGGAATAATGGGTGGAAACGGATCCAGGAGAGATTCAACCTGGAAATAAAGAGAAACTTTCTGACAGGGAGAACCATCAACCAATGGAACAGAAGTTGCCTTTGGAAGTTGTGGGAGCTTCATCGCCGGAAACTTTCGAGAGTGGACTGCCATCTGTCAGGAATGGTATATGGCAGTGATGGCAAGTCTTTTTGTTGTGGTGTGCTGAAAGTGTGCGTGCCGGCACCCACAATGCAATGTGGCACCCTGCACATGCGCGTGCAACACTCCCACCCCCTTACCTGCACTGCGCATGCGTGCACTTCCCAGCTGATTTTCGGCCCAAAAACGGGCCTTCCGGAAATACCGGAAGTGCTGAAATGGGCTTGTTTTCAGCCCCCCGAGGCTGCAGAGGCTTCCCTCGAGCCCCCGGCAGGGTGAAAACGGCCTTCACCGGGCTCCAGAGGCCCTCAGGAGGCTGAGAACAGGCACTTCCGGTATTTCCGGAAGTCCCGTTTTTCGGCCTCTTGAGGCTGCAGAGGCTTTCCTTGAGCCTCTGAGAAAGCGAAAACGCCCACAAACGGGCCAAAAGTCAGCTGGGAGGCGCGCGCATGCACAGTGCAGGTAAGCTTGGCTGGGGCTCGGATGCCTGTACAAATGGCTCTGTGTGCCATTTGTGGCACACGTGCCATAGGTTCGCCATCGCAGGTGTAGGGTCTCCTGCTTGGGCAGGGGGTTAGACTAGATGACCTACAAGGTACCTTCCAACTCTTTTAATCTGTTATCTGGCCCAAATCCTGCCTTTCTGCAAAGGCCCCCATCTTGGAAAACCCTGATAAATGCAAGATTCCTGATTTGAACCCTATCCTTTCAGATGCAGCTCTACGTAGAGGAGCGGGCACAGAAAGGCACTTGAACCTGGGACTTCCGAACCATTTTGGAAATCTGCAATCCAGGCGACGCATTCCCAAGCTCGTCCCCTGCAACCACGTCAGTGCTTGGACGATTGACACGCGCGTGTCTGAGTTTCCTTCCTGGCTACCGGGTGATTGTGTTTTTAAAAGTGCTCTTAAATCCCGCCAGGTTACCCTCATGTTGTCTTCTACCGATTCGGCGAGCCGGGTATTTTTCAAGTTGCTAGACCTGAGGGAGGACAGGGCACTGCAGAACTGTGCCTAGAAAGTGGTCACGTTTTGATTGCTGTGAAAACACTCGTCTGTCTTACTTTTTAAAATGAATGTTTATCGCTGTGTTTCCGAGGTGCTAATGTAGAACAATAGGACTAATTCACTGTAAATAAACTTAAGTTGTATCTGGTATCAACCATGTCTAACTTTGCCCGCCCCCCACCGCTGAACCCAGATGTGGTATTTAAGACTGACACAGGTTTGATTGAAAACATTTTTATGAAATACAACTTTTCCAGACGTAGTGAAGTTGCAGAAGCAGCGAGAGAGAAATATCTGTTATATCGATAAATATCTTGCGGGTTTATTTTTCTCAGCGAGAGAGAAATATCCAGAGGATGTAACTTTGGAGTGACTACAATTCAAATCCTTCCTTTCCATGTCCAAGGGTTAGGCTGCCCTTCCCCAGAGCCACTTGACTGGGGACAATGGGAGTTGCAGTCCTATCCCAACCGAAGCAGCCCTTCGCCATCAATCTGCCACTAGGGGGCCCAGGGTGAGGCTGCTGTTGGTCACTCTGACCCCGTACCAGCCTTGCCAGTATAGCGTATCCTGGCCTCCATGTTCAAATAAGATGTAGCGGACGCCAGCAGGGTAGTTGTGAAACGTGTGTGACACCTGAGAAGGGAAAAAGAAGGCGAGGAGCAGGTGATGAAAAGGGGCATTTTAACCGGTAGCTCCGAAGATCATCTGGGAGCGATCCAGAGGTGGTATTCAGCCGGTTCTGACCAGTTCTGGAGAACCTGTAGCGGACATTTTGAGTAGTTCGGAGAACCGGCCAATACCGCCTCTGACTGGCCCTGCCAACCCCATCTGTTCTCTGCCTCCCATGGAGTCCCAGCTTATTGGTTGCCCTGCACAGGAGAGCAGAGCTGGAAAGCAGGTTAGGGGGGTGGGGAGGGAATGGAGAATTTGCAGTATCCTTTCCCTGCCACGCCCACCAAGTGTTTTGACCCAGCCGAATTCCCCAAGAGCAAAGAAAGATAAAAACTCAAACTTTCACGGCTTTAATCCACAAATAAACCTCTCTGTAGACAACAGATGGCTTGCAGCCAAGTAGTCCAATTAGAAAAACCTTCAAATAAATCAGAGTTTGTCATCATCACACTGATTCCTTCCAACATTGGAAACCAGGCTTATATTCCCTGGAGGGAGGGGCCATTAATTAACATTCGTACTCCCGAGCCGCCTGTGCTGCTCTTCCATGAATCATCCTGCTCTCACTCACACCTAACACAGGCTCCTCAGAAACGTCCTCCTCATTGCTGCCGGCTAACCACAACACTAAGCCACGGCATGCCCACCAAGCCACGCCCACAGAACCGGTAGTAAAATTTTTTGAATCCCACCACTGGAGCGAACCAGTTCACTCCGAAAATCAGCTGCCGGGCCCTCCTGCCCACTTGGCCTCCATACTGACCTGCTTTTCAACCTCCACTGCATTGCATGGCACAACCAATTGCCACGCATCAGCTGTTGGAGACACACAGAGAGTGCAGGATTGCAGGAGGTCAGTAGGAAAGCCTCGGTGCATGCAGAAAGCACGCGTTTGCTGCGCCATGCGCTCATGGTGAGCGCACAAAGCACACCCACCAAGCCACGCCCACCGAACCGGTGGTAAACCAATTTGAATCCCACCACTGGGCATTTTTATCCCAATTCTGTTCACCCAATTCGATTCTAGAATTACAGAGATGATTTTAAAAACCTCCAGCTCCAAATCCGGTGGGCTCTAAAAGCACCATATTGTGTGTGTAACACACAGCATCAGCAGGACACTATTATACTTCCTAAGTAAGATCAGCACTTGGCTTGTGAGATGGACTGCATGTAAGTTTAGCGATAAATAAAATTAAAAAAGCAATTTCTGGGGTCTTGGCTGCCCTCTTGAGCTTGGTTGTTTTCTTGCAGATGTTTCATGACCCAACTAGGTAACAGCATCAGAGCTAGAAGGGATTAAAAAAGAGAGAGAGAGAGAGCAAACTCCTTCTAACACTGAAGATGTTAACTAGTTGAATCATGAAACGTCTGAAAGGGAAAAAAAAAACAAGCTCAGACAGTACCCAGGACTCCACAGTCCTCCTCCTCTTCCTCCTCTACACGAATGCCACACCTTCTAACACTGATGATATTGCCTAGTTGGGTCATGAAAAGTCTGCAAGGAAACAACCAAACTCAGAGAACACCAAGGACCCCACAACCATTTCCCCCCTCCTTTCCTTCCTCTACCCCCATCTCCTCTCTGCAAATCCCCTGTCTGCACCCCCTCTCCTTCCTCCTCCCCCAATCTCTCCCTCTCCACAAACACCACTCATTCTAACACTGATGATGTTGCCTAGTTGGGTCATGAAACATCCAAGAAAACAACCAAGCTCAGAAAGCACCAGGGACCCCACAGTCATTTCCCCCCTCCTTTCCTTCCTCTACCCCCATCTCCTCTTTGCAACCCCCCCTCCCTTCTAGCACTGATAATGTCACCTAGCTGGGTCATGAAACATCTGCAAGAAAACCAGAAAGCAAGCAACCCATAGTTTTCCTCCTCCTCCCTACAAACACCACTTCTAGCAGTGATGATGTTACCGACTTGGGTAGTGAAATGTCTGTAAGAAAACCACCCAGCTCAGAGAGCACCAAGGACCCCACAGTCCTTCCCTGCACTTTCCCTCCTCCACTCACAATCTCTTCCTCTCTGCAAAACCCTCTCCCTTCTAGCTCTGATGATGTCACCTAGGTGGGTCACGAAATGTCTGCCAGAAAACCACGAAGTTCAGACAGCACCAAGCACCCTTCATTTCAACCCTGAGCTAGAAATATTCTCCTTCAAAATGGTAGAGGTTCCCCTCGCACATCAGTCGTTTCCAGCTCTCAGGACCGGTGCTCATCTCCAGCACAAAGCCAAAGAGCCAGCGCTGTCCCAAGACGTCTCCGTGGTCACATGGCCGGCATGGCTAAACGCTGAAGGTGCATGGAACACTTTTCGCTTCCCACCAAAGGGGTCCCTATTTTTCTACTTGCATTTTTTTACATGCTTTCGAACTGCTAGGATGGCAGAAGCTGGGTGTCAGGATTCCGGCACTTAACCCCCATTTAAATCATGAACCTTGAGCCAAACTTCCAAAACCTCAAAAGGATTTATTGGGAGTTAACATGTCCGGCACTGCTAGGGTATAGCCGACACTGAGAGACATCATTCATGGTCACCCTTGACCCTGGTTTTCCCCCACCCCCTGGGTGTATCGTAATTCATATCCTCCAATGGGACGCATCCCTAGCCCAAAGTCATCCATCATGCTCTCCAGTTAGAATTTTGCCTGGCAGAAACTTCGGTCACCTAGTTACTATCTTTGAAAACATTTATGGAATGCACTTTCGGTTTTGCAAGCTGTCGCACTCCTTCCCCCACACTTTCTGTTGACAACTCTAAAAAGACCATTGAAATATTTTATGAGTTGACGCTGGGACAAGAAGCGGGAGCTCACTCCATGATGCAGCGCTAGCAGGGGTGAGATTCAAATTTTTAACAACCGATTCTGTGGGTGTGGCTTAGGTAGTAGGCATGGCTTAGTGGTCATGTGACTAGGTGGACATAGCTTGGTGGTCATGTTATTGGCTGGGTGTGGCCAACTCAATATCACTCACATCGAGGCATGCATCTCCTCTCCTGGCCTCTCATGACTGTCGGGATGCTGCAACAGTCGTAAGTGTGAAAAATGGTCATAAGTCACTTTTTTCAGTGCCATTGTAACTTTGAATGGTCACTCCACACAAGCAAAGTACCAGCAAAGGAGGGGAAAAAAACTCCAGAGAAGTTCCTGAGACAGGAAGTCTAGTCCTGCCAAAAATGTAATAAGGGTTAGGGTTAGGGTTAGGCAGTTTCTGTAAGCAACACCAGAATGTTTCCTTCCTGCCTTCCTTACAGGATTAGCCCAGTAATTTCTTCTAACAACCGGTTCTCCGAACTGCTTAAAATGTTAACAGCCAGTTCTAGCGAATAGGTGCGAACCTGTAGAATCCCACCCAAGCACTAGAGATTCGAACCGCCTGAACTGCCAACCTTTCTGGTTGACAAGCTCGGTGTCTTAGCCACTGAGTCATCAGGCCCCTTAAAAATTCTCTTTTACTGGCAAATAAAAAACACACAACCCTTTGGCCCCTTAACCGATGCCACCAGGTAAATCTTGGGGGGCAGAACCGGGCTGTGATCCAACCCCCTACCTTGCGCCATTCTGCATCGCTCCACTGTTCGATCACAACCGGTTCCAGCAGAAACTCCTGGAGAACAATGTAGTCTTTGGACAGGAGCCTCACACAGAGGTGGTACTGGCAGCCACAGTCGAAACGCGCAGCGTACCTGGGGACAAATGGGGGTTGAAGGAAACAATGCCAGCTCTTTAAAAAAAAAGAGGTCAATAAAAACACAGGGGGTCCTCGAAATACGACCATAACGGAGTCCAAAATTTCCATCGCTAAGTGAGACAATTGTTCAGCCCGATTATTCTGGCTGGCGGGGTCCAGGAGGAAGGCCTTCTCTGTGGCTCCTGCCTTCTGGAACATTTTGCCCCCTCCCCCAATATCTGTTTGCCTCCAAACCTCCTCTTGTGGCCTATTGGCCACAGGTCCCTCCGGCGGCCGAATCAGAGGAGGAGGAGGAGTTGTGGGGGTCAGGACCAGCATCAAGGCAATCTGGGAGTTCTGAGGGGGAGGGAATGGAGCTGGCAGAGAGAAAGAGAGGAGGGGGGGAGGTGGAGCCTTGGCCGTCCGTCAGCCCTCCGATGAAGAGTCAACAGCCCCCAGGTCTGGACGTGGCTGATGAGGAAGAGGAAGAATGCCTGGGCACAGTGCCTGACTGCGGATGCTCAGAAGGCAGAGGAGAAGAGAGCAGTGGAAATCTATGGACTGGTCCTTGGGACAGAAGAACAACCTCTGCGACTTCTGGGTTGAGCGCTCCTTGCTGACAGACCATAGATCACGACTGTCCGTGGTTATGGTCCATGCTCTTTCGTTGGAGAGCCCCGATCATTATGATTAGGGGCTGAAGCTGCCTTGGAGGGGCGGCGGAGTAAGGGGAAGCTGCAAGCCAGGTTGAGGGGAGCCGCATCTCCCCTTCTGAGCTTGGTCTTTCCCCCCCCCGAAGACGACTGAAGCGGTGGTCCAAAATGGCCACCCCGAAGAGGAGGACTCAGCTGGACTAAGATTTGTGCAGGAATGAAGAAAGAGGTGGATAACATCTGAGCCGGGGCAATTGGGCAAAACAACTGAACAAAAAGTACCCCGCGATTAAGGTAACACTGAACTTTTAAGAAAAGAAAAGTGAGTGGCAAAAATACAAAGAGACAGGAAAAAAATAAGAAAATAATCGTGACAGCTGAGCGGGGCTTCGAACCGGGAAAGGAAGAAGCCAGAACTAAAGACTTAATTAAATTGGATTAAAATATTTTGGCAATGAACAGGCATAAAATAAAGCTGGACTTAAGATTGTCAAAAAATAACAATCATAAAATTTACAAATTGGAGACTGGATTGCTCGGGAATATTGCGGTTTGAAAAACCCTAAATAATAAAGTAGGGGAAAAAGGTGAAGACTTTGTATAACATCTTCTGGACAAAAACTTAAACTCAAACAAAAGGGAAATTATTCTGTTTCATTATGAACTCGTGTCGATACAATGTTAAAGAAATATTGAAACAAAGTAAGAATCTTAGAAAGCGAAAGCTGAACCAGAACAAAGGAAGAAGCAAGGAAAGACCGACTGCGGGATTGATTGTTGTTTTTGGTATAGACCCTGGGTTGGAACAATTGAGAACTTAAGAAAACTTGAAGAAGAAAGAAGGAAAGTAAAAGTGTTTTTTGTGGATTTCAACGATTATAAAATATAGGAGTGTGTAATGATGATATCTCTTCGGGAATTAAAAACGGAACTTAAAAATATGAGAGAATTACTACAGGATAGAGGCGAATCACTTTGCTCTGTGTTAGAAGAAATGGAAAGGGAGATTGAAGAACAAAAAGAAAACTTCAGAGGAGGAAGAGTCGATTCAAGGAGAAGCCATCTTAAATAGACAGTTAACACAAAGAACACTACAAAGACGAAAGAAGGAAGGCTATTGAGATTTAAGAAGGTAAAAAGGTAAAAAGGGGAATACTTGTGAAATCAGGAGTGGTAGAAAGGTGCGGCAGAAAAGGGGAAAAGAAGATATCAAGAAAGAGAGGGATATAAACTGGAATGAGAAAAGATAGGAAAAAGGGGGAGGAGAGGCAGTAAGAAACAGGTGCAGGAAATTAAGAAACACGGAAATAGTAAAATGATGAAAAGAAATTGTTTTTATAGAGATAATGGCTGATGAATTAAAAAGGGAATTCTGCAGGGTGACAAGGGGTAACAACAATATACTTGCAATTAAAAAATACTTAGAAAATAGGGTAATATAGGTTATTAAAGGAGGGATAGATACTGGTAACTCTTATTAGATGAATATATATTTTTATTTTTATCTTTAAAAGAAAAGTTAAGGTCTATTGAAGAAATTGTAATAATTGAAATGAATGTGAAAATGTTTAAAAGTGAGGTCAATATCAGTTACCAGGAATTAAATAGTCAGTTTTTTCCCTTTCACTTTTTTGAAATTAGAAATAAAATTAAGGGGGGGAAATATATTGTGGAATCCAAATGAAAAGATGTAATGATTATTATTGTGACTACTTAAAAATAAAGGTTTATTGGGAATTAAGATGAGGGAACAAAGGTGTATTTTAATTACTGAAGTGTCACATTCAAAGCATAAAAAACCTATGCTTGTTTCTTTTTCTTGTGTTAAAACTTGTATTAATGTAGAATTTATAGAAAGAATGTGTGATGAAAATATGACAGATTAAAGAACTATTTAAATTAATAAGCTAATACAGACTATTAAAAGGAGAGACACAGATAACTTTTCTTTCAATTAGGCAAACATATATTGTTATTTTTATTCTTAAAATAAATATTAAAGGATTATATTTAAAATAAATGAAATGAAAGGATGTTTGGATTGAGATTAATGTAGGAGATTAGGATTAATTTACTTGTTTTTCTCTTTTCTGAAAGTTTGGAACGGAAAAGGTAATAATAGAATTAAGTATGCACATATGAATGTATAACTATTGTCATATTTGTATGTAAAAGTGATGATCCGGAAATATGTTGTCCACTAAAAAGAGCTTTTTAGTTTTTATGTGAAAAATTGAATAAAACCTGTTGGAAAAAAGAAAGAAGGAAGAGCAAGCGCTGCTAGTGAAGCCTCACCCAGGGGTCTCTCTCTCTCTCTCTCTTTTGAATTTTGATTGCGTGACTGGTAGGATGGTCGTAAGTGTAAAAAATGGTCACTAAGTCACTTTTTTCAGCGCCGTGGAAACAGTCACTAAATGAACACTTGTATATGTCAGGGTTCCAGATTGTATCCGGTTTAATCAGTAACTCCGAGGCAGACATAATCTCAAAGTTCTTTATTAAAAATAGGAACTGGCATCGTCTGTGAAATTTCAGAACTGAAATCATTCCCAGACTTCCCGCAAAATCCAACCTTCACCCACCCACTTTTCTACCCCTTGTTAATCACGTGAACCAATTCCTCTGCAGCTGCAATTGCTTGCTGCGACACACTCAATAACCTTGAACTTTCAAACTAAACTTTTTTCCTCTAAGAACTATTCAATTACATCGCCCCCTCCCACGTTCTTCAACTCTGTGGCAGTGATGAATTCCAGAGCTGACAGTATAGCCTTTTCCGTGGGAAAGCAAGGAGAACCAGAAGGGAGGCATAATTGACTTACAACTGTTCGTTTAGTGACCAGTTACCACAGCACTGAAAAATGTGACTTATGACCATTTTTCACACTTACGACCGTAGTAGCCGCCCCACGGTCACATGATCAAAATCCAGATGCTTGGGAAGAGCCTCACATTTATGACGGTCGCAGAGTCCCGGGGGCCACAGGATCCCCTTTTGTGACCTTTGGAAAAAGCAAAGTCAACGGAGAAGCCAGATTCACTTCACAACCGGGTGACTAACTTAACAACTGCCTCGATTCACTTAACAACGGTAGCCAGAAAGGTCGTAAAATGGGGCAAAACTCACTTAGCAAATGTCTCCCTCAACAACAGACATTTTGGGCTTCATTGTGGTCATAAAGGTGAGGACTACCTGTATTCCGCCTCTGGCTTTGACGGAGCTGTCTTTTGGCGCTGCGTCCATCCGTCCGCCTCTCCTCCCTGCCACTTACCAGTCGCTCACCACGATATCAGGCCGAGCTTCGTCCATCAATTGATCCCAGTAGCCGTGATCCCGTAAGGTGATCATCTGATGCTTCATGCATGACCTGGCAAGGAAGAAAAAACCGCCGGTTGTTCCAAGCCTCCATCATCATTATCATCATCATCTTTTAACAGCCCCATGATTCCTTGCCAGGCGGAGTCTGGACAACTGAATGGAGCGAAGTGTTTCCTGGCCGGATGCCCTTCCCGTTGCCAACGTGGAGTTATATTCAGCAGATAAATTCCCATTGTGTCCAGAAGATAGAAATATCAGCCTCTACCTAGGTTCGAACGCACAGCTGCGAGGCACGCACATGCCCAGTGAGGTAAGTTTGCTTGCTGCTCGCGTGCCAGCACAAATGGCTCTGTGTGCCGTAGGTTTGCCATCACGGGCCTAGAGTCACCCTCATGGTAAAATGGGCAGCCAATAAATAAATAATATATATATATAATTTATTATTATTATTATTATTATTATTATTATTATATATTATATATATTATTTATTATATATATAAACTTTAGCTTTGAAGTTTCCAAGCTGCCCGTGGGGAAAAACTCAGTTGGAAATTCCCGCCATCGGAGGAGCCCGTTTAACAATGGTCAATCCGCATGTTAGAAACCCCGCAAGGGAAGACCAGCGAGTCCCTGGCTGTCCCGCCACTCACTCGTAGGACGTCACAAAATATTTCCGAACATGCGGAAGGGGGATATTTCTTCCGTGATTTCCCGGAAGCTGCTCGATTTTCCAGCCGTTGCCTCCATCGCATTCTTTCACCCAGGCGTCAAAGCCTTCTGTGGCGGGAGAGAGAGAGGACACAAAAAAGGAGAGGACTACGCTGTAGGCTTGATGTTCGGCACTTGGGACAACATTTCAAAACTAGGGGGACGAGACCACCAGGAGATCATGCCCTAAAATAAGGCTACTTTGGAGGCAGAATTATGGAACTGGTTGTACTGGGTTATTTCAGGATTTTTTTAAAAAATTTGCTTAGCCATGTTGGTATTGTGGTTCGCCGGCAGCCTGTGCCGACAGCAGCAGAATCGGACAGTGGGGAAGAACGGAGACCAGTCCAGGAGTCTGGGGAGGATTCAGATGAGGGTTCTGTGTCCAATGCAGAGATGGGGCCAGGACCATCTGGGAGTGGGGTGCTGATTCTTGAGCCTCCAGAGTCTGGCAGCAGCGAGGCAGAGAAACAAGGGGAGCCTGTTCCCAGCACGCGTGTGCACAGAGGTGCTAGAAGGCAAGAACAGCTGAGACAAAAGGGGCGACTCGGGAGTAAGGCTTGGAGGTGATTGGCCCTCCCATAAGGTATAAAGGACCAGCAAAGGGAGAGAAACCTTTGCAGGAAGCAACGTCGTTTGCTCTGTTCAGATTAACTCTTGAAGCTCTGTGTGGACTTCGTATTTCGATTGTTTTTTTACAGTTCATTTGTCACTTTAGTTGTTGGCAGCAGTTCAAAGGAGAGAAAGGTGGGTGCTCATCTCGAGGGACTGTTTGGGACTCATTACAGGCTGGGAATGAACATAATTCCCAGTGCTGAAATAAAACAAGACTTGTTTAGACTAAGCGTGTGCTTAATTACTGTCTTGGGAAGCCTTGGTCGAAACAGTTGGCAACTCCGTTTGGATCTCCTGGTGGTCTTCCAATTCCCTTTAATCTAGGATCAAGGCCAGAGCTGGTTAAGAGCTGCAGGGGAAACAACCTTTGAGTGGCTCAAAAACGGACCCCTCCCCCCAAATAGCCCAGCCCTCTTGAGCCCCCCCCTCACCTTCAGCACAGGGGTTTTTGATCAGGTTCCTCTTCAGGCTGCAGAGGAAATAGAAATTCCGCCAGTCCGGGATGGGACTGTCCAGGGGCTCCGGCCAGTAGCCCTCACGCTGGCACTTGAGCCTCCAGAGCGAAGGCAAGTCTACCAGCCCACGCCAAAGGGAGCAGACCAGCCGGCAGTGACGCACCAGGTCCCAGGCAGGCACCAGCACCAGCACAGCAATCAGGGCATCCTCGGGGAGGGTCTCCATGCTCGTCACCTGGGAAGAGGAAAAAAGAGGAAAAAAGGAGAGAAGAAAGAGTGAAAGAGAGAAGAGAGAGAGAGAGAGAAAAGAGAAACAGGAGAGAGGGATGGGAGCGATGGGAAAAGAAAGAGAGAGGAGTGGAGAGAGAGAGAAAGGAGAAAAGAGAGGAGAGAGAGATGGGAGAGAGAAAGGAGAGAGAGAGAGAGAGAAGAGGGGAGAGAGAAAGGAGAAGAGTGAGAGAGGGGAGAAAGGAGAGAAGACAACCAGAGGGGAGAGGATAGAAGAAAGAGAAACGGGGGGGGGGGGGGCAAGAGAAGAGGGGAGAGAAGAAAGAGAGAGAAAGTAGAGAAGACAGAGAAGAGACGATCGAAGAGAGAGAGAGAGAGAGAGAGGAGAGGAGAGAGAAGACAGAGAGACTGGTCTTACGTTTGCAGAGGTAGAACCTCCCCGGCCAGGGGTAGTCTATCTGAGCCGACGATTCAGCGAGGCAGGCGGGGCGGGGCGGGGCAGCCCTCGACGGAGCCTCCAGCCCCCGGCAGCAGCGACATCTGGGAGACCCGGAGCCGCGCAGCAGGGACAGGGCTTCCGTGGAGCTCCCCACCCCACCCCCAGCACCTCCCCGGGGGTGGAAGCGGCTCCCTTTCCTCGCCCCCCTCCCGCCTCCGGGGCCTCCCCGCCTCCCTCCCTCTCTACGCCCCCCCACCCCCACCCCGGAAGCAGCGCCTGCTCCGCCCGGCTCCGCACTTGCCAGAAGCGCCGCAGAGGCTCCGCGCATGCGCCGCCCGGGCGAAAACGAAAGCGAAACGTGGCCAAAGGGCTCCGCAGAGCTACTAAAAGGGAAGAGGAGCGCGTCGCTTCCCAGACTTCCGAGTTCGCGGAGCATCGGGGGAGGGGCATCTCCCCGCGGGGAGGGCGTGGCCTGGGGAATTGCGTCATCGCATGCAAATGAACGGGATTCCCTTTCCCCCCTCCCCGCCCTCGTCCTTGCGAGGGGTCTCTCTCTCAGACCCCGCCGCCCAAGGGGGGCCGCGGCCCCCGGGAATCCGGCCGGCTGAACCCACAGCGCCGCTGAAAGAGCGCTCCTGAGCGTGTGCAAAGCGCCCCCTTCCTTAGCCCGGGCAATTGATTTGGGGAGGGGGGGAGTCTTGATCTCAGCCCCCTGTTCTCCTTGCCTGCTCCGGAAAGCTAAAAGTGGCCTGGTGGGAGGCCACGAGGAAATCCCAGGACTGTGGCTTATCTGGGATGTGTTCCTAATGCCAAGCGATGGGGCCTTCCAACTCAGCCCCCTCCCCAGGGAAGAGGGGGGAACCCCCAGCCCCCTCCCAAGGAAGAAGGGGGAACCCCTGTATTCTCCCCCACTTCAGCCCCCTTCCCAAGGGGGAACCCCAGCTCCCTACTCAAGGAAGAGGGGGGAACCCCCTGTATTCTCCCCCTCTTCCCTCCTGGCCAATCCATTCCAATTCAGCCCCTTCCCCTCCTGCCATGGGGGTTGCCCTGGCAGAGATTTGGGGGGACGGATGAGGGTGCGGTGACCCCTCCCACTCCTGCCTGGCCAGCGTCCCGTTGGAGTTACTTGCCTGCGACAAGCAGCCCAGCCCAGCCCAGCCCTGGGTGGGGAGGCGGAGTCTCTCGGCTGGCTGTCCCAGAGGCCGGCCGGCTGCTGTCTCACTTGCTACCCTCGCCCCGTTTGCAGCTCCTGGCATCGCCCGCAGGACAGCCCCCTCCCCAATGGTAAGTGGCAGGGATCTCCCTCCTCCCCTCCTCCTCTTTGGAGGAGCCCCCCAAAACTCTTAGAGGCCCTTAATTCTCCTGTGGGGGTGGGGCGTTCAGCCCTTGTTCTCCCCATCCCCAACTGTGCAAGCTTTGCAGAGCTGCTGGTCTCTTCGGCAGGGCTTGGGTTGGAGAAGAAGGGTGAGTGTTGCCAGGGGATGCCCCAAAGGCGGTTAAAACTATATATTATCTATCATAACTATATTGAATTCTACAATATTAATGCAATATTAATGCAATATCAGGTGTTTTCAGTTCCATTGTATAGAATGCGAAGGATGTGTGCTTGTGTTTTATTTTTAGAGATATCATGCACGCTGGAGAGGGCATTTAATTTTGTTGCACGAGATGCAATGACAATAAAGTAAACTCAACTTAAAAGGGACATCATTTCTTGCTCCTTCTTGCTGTGTGTGTGTGTGTGTGTGTGTGTGTGTGTGTGTGTGTGTGTGTGTG